TTTCAATAAAGTGCCAAGATTTGAAATCAAGACATATACGTTTACGATTCTGTTCTATTACCTACCTTTTGGATGTCAGGACTTGTCATTCCATCACATACGGGCATCTTATTGTTATCTATATAATGCACACACAATACCCGTGTCCAAATAAATAAAAAAGAAAAATCTAAAAATGACAAGTGATAAAAATAAATAAATCTAGGTGGTTAAATGTAATTAAAAGAGAAGTTACAGTTGGTTAAATGGAAAAAAAAAATGCAATTTTAGCAATATACTTGGAATTGACTATTAATAACTATCAATAATAAAGGAAGAAAACACCAAATCCACTCTTTTTTACTATTAATAGTATAATTTTGTCACATAGCATACTCTCTAATTAATATACTAATATATTTCAGCACCAAAATTCCATTAATGCTATTTAAGGGTGTAATTTTGAGTGAGTCAAGGCGGACCCTATCCAAAATATTTCGGTAATGGGATAAAAAAATTTAGTACTCGAATTTGACTCAACCCAAGTTGTTCAATCATAAAATTAGACCCGCATATAACTTATTTTTAACGTGAAAATTGAACCCGAATTTCAACGTGAGGTGAGCTCAAATTTCAAATCATCATGTTGAACGTGAGTTCAAAAATTGTGCATTCGTGGTATCCCGATGAAATAGATTTGGATTAAAATCAAATTGAAGGTTGAATAACTTATACTTAGCTTGAGTTGAATTTATAACCTCTCCTTCGACTAGATGGCGTTGCAGCTTAATGTTAGATCCTGTCTGTTGGTTGACGGAGCATCAATCTGAATAAAGTGGATGGAATGTTGATTCATGACACTTGATCTACCATCAAAAGAATTCATGGAAGCTAATAAATGGAGTATTTATCAATTTATGATATTTTTTAATTTATTTATTAAATTATGATGCTTTTAAAAAAATGGGGTTATTGACCCCGATTTTTGTTAAAAAAATAGATTTAACGGCCTCGCTTTTTATGAGTTAATTTACTGGACTTAACACTCTCTTTTTACATGTGATTGAAAAATTGAATAACTTTTTATCCTTGTCCGTTAAAAGCAGGATTGATAAATCTATTTTTTTAATTAAAGTTGGGTCAACAACTCCGCCATTTAAAAATAGTTGGATTTTGATAAATAAGTTTAAGGAAAATGTTACACAACTTAAAAAAAAATTTAAAAATTACAACTCAAATGCATATTATCCATTGAATGACAATTTGATGAATGGATTCCACTAACAAGTTGATAGGACCCATTCATCTTACAGATAATATGCATTTAGATTGTAATTTTTTGAATTACATTTAAGTTATATAACATTATTCTAAATTCAAATAAATGATTGGATCTAAATCACCTATTACCCAAAAATTATGTTATAAAATAAGTAATTTTCCTAGTAAAATATTGTTTATATTTAATAGGGGATTTAATTTGAGGATTTAGACAATTAGAATTGTTGGATAAAAGTTGTACTTTATCTATCATTACAACTTATAAGTAATTTAATGACTCATATATCTATTGAATTAGATATATGATTAAATGCTTGAATTGATTTATTAATGAGTAATGCTTTGTAATCCAAATTTATAACCCAAAGTTATATTCCAAATAAATAAATAAAACATATTGAATCAGTGGTTCTCATTTAAAAAAATTGATGAAATTCATTCATTCAATGATTTTCGTTCATTTGAGATACAAATTTAAATTATAAATTTGGATTACATGATATTACCCTTTACTAATGTACTTGTGCACCTGCCCATATGCATAAGCTCGAAGTTTCATGTGAACAACATAAACTATAATCTAGTTAGCAAGAAAAAAAACCAACTGCTACATTAATGCACTTTCAATTGTAGCAAGTTCAATGTATCAAGAGTTCTCATAGTAGAATATTGGCATTTACCTAGCCCCTTTACTAATTACCATATTCGTCAAAAGCTCCATGTTAATGAGAAACAATTGACACTCTCTCTCTCTTGACTATCGGTATTTAAGATTGTACCTACTATTCTTTCAAGTTCGGATATTGACTATTGTAATTGCATGGATTTAGAACATATCTCTTGAAAAACAAGGGTTACTAACTCTTATGAGGTTCAAGAAGTACTAAATCTAAGATCTCTGAATTACTATAGAACAAACTCGACTATTAAATATCTCTAAGGGTTGCATTCTCACTCCTTGAATAGGAGTAACTTGGACCAATTAATTTGACGAAGAGGAGAGATCTCTGTGTATATGGGTTAATGGGTGTGTGAGCGTACGTGAGTGAGAGAGAGATGATATGGATTACAGTGATCGTTGAAACGAGAAGGTTGGAGGTGGTTATGGCTATTGACAAGAAAAAGGATAAAATAGAGGGAGGATTTTTTTCGTCTTTTTAACATGCTTTTTTTTTTTGTACCAAATTATATAACAAACGCATGATATACATTTATCGTTAAAATAAATAGAAAATTTAACGGTACATTTTAGTTCATTATCGCCAAAGGTGTTAAAAGGAAATTTTAAAATTTGACGAAGATCATATGCACATGGGTTAAACCAAGTAAAATAAAGTGCCCTTATTTTTTAGAGTACGATTGCACTGCACTAAGGTGCCTCGAAGTTTAGTCAAAATATACTCCATTCCCTGTTATTTTAGAAATTTACATTCAAACCCACTCTTATATTCTTTTGTAATTACTGCTTAGATCTTTTGTAATTACTGTATGGATAAAATATTTCCTCTCTCTCTCTCTCTCTCTCTCAACTCCAGCCTTTACCTTCAAGAAACCCAAACCATTCACATACATCTCTCTCTCTCTCTCTCTCAAAAGATCCAACGCAAACTACTCCTTTCTCTGTAAAGCTACAGCCACACTGAGCTACTTTTTCTTCTGTATTATATCTTTTTTGTATTTTAAAACTATTTACAGTAGCCACTATGTGCAAGTCGAAATCATCGACATTTCATAGAGATCCTCCATAGCGGACCAACTTAANGATGGAATGTTGATTCATGACACTTGATCTACCGTCAAAAGAATTCATGGAAGCTAATAAATGGAGTATTTATCAATTTATGATATTTTTTAATTTATTTATTAAATTATGATGCTTTTAAAAAAATGGGGTTATTGACCCCGATTTTTGTTAAAAAAATAGATTTAACAGCCTCGCTTTTTATGAGTTAATTTACTGGACTTAACACTCTCTTTTTACATGTGATTGAAAAATTGAATAACTTTTTATCCTTGTCCGTTAAAAGCAGGATTGATAAATCTATTTTTTTAGTTAAAGTTGGGTCAACAACTCCGCCATTTAAAAATAGTTGTATTTTGATAAATAAGTTTAAGGAAAATGTTACGCAACTTAAAAAAAAATTTAAAAATTACAACTCAAATGCATATTATCCATTGAATGACTATTTGATGAATGGGTTCCACTAACAAGTTGATAGGACCCATTCATCTTACAGATAATATGCATTTAGATTGCAATTTTTTGAATTTCATTTAAGTTATATAACATTATTCTAAATTCAAATAAATGAGTGGATCTAAATCACCTATTACCCAAAAATTATGTTATAAAATAAGTAATTTTCCTAGTAAAATATTGTTTATATTTAATAGGGGGATTTAATTTGAGGATTTAGACAATTAGAATTGTTGGATAAAAGTTGTACTTCATCTATCATTGCAACTTATAAGTAATTTAATGACTCTATTGAATTAGATATATGATTAAATGCTTGAATTGATTTATTAATGAGTAATGCTTTGTAATCTAAATTTATAACCCAAAGTTATATTCCAAATAAATAAATAAAACATATTGAATCAGTGGTTCTCATTTAAAAAAATTGATAAAATTCATTCATTCAATGATTTTCGTTCATTTGAGATACAAATTTAAATTATAAATTTGAATTACATAATATTACCCTTTACTAATGTACTTGTGCACCTGCCCATATGCATAAGCTCGAAGCTTCATGTGAACAACATAAACTATAATCTAGTTAGCAAGAAAAAAAAAACCAACTGCTACATTAATGCACTTTCAATTGTAGCAAGTTCAATGTATCAAGAGTTCTCATAGTAGAATATTGGCATTTACCTAGCCCCTTTACTAATTACCATATTCGTCAAAAGCTCCATGTTAATGAGAAACAATTGACACTCTCTCTCTCTTGACTATCGGTATTTAAGATTGTACCTACTATTCTTTCAAGTTCGGATATTGACTATTGTAATTGCATGGATTTAGAACATATCTCTTGAAAAACAAGGGTTACTAACTCTTATGAGGTTCAAGAAGTACTAAATCTAAGATCTTTGAATTACTATAGAACAAACTCGACTATTAAATATCTCTAAGGGTTGCATTCTCACTCCTTGAATAGGAGTAACTTGGACCAATTAATTTGACGAAGAGGAGAGATCTCTGTGTATATGGGTTAATGGGTGTGTGAGCGTACGTGAGTGAGAGAGAGATGATATGGATTACAGTGATCGTTGAAACGAGAAGGTTGGAGGTGGTTATGGCTATTGACAAGAAAAAGGATAAAATAGAGGGAGGATTTTTTTCGTCTTTTTAACATGCTTTTTTTTTTTGTACCAAATTATATAACAAACGCATGATATACATTTATCGTTAAAATAAATAGAAAATTTAACGGTACATTTTAGTTCATTATCGCCAAAGGTGTTAAAAGGAAATTTTAAAATTTGACGAAGATCATATGCACATGGGTTAAACCAAGTAAAATAAAGTGCCCTTATTTTTTAGAGTACGATTGCACTGCACTAAGGTGCCTCGAAGTTTAGTCAAAATATACTCCATTCCCTGTTATTTTAGAAATTTACATTCAAACCCACTCTTATATTCTTTTGTAATTACTGCTTAGATCTTTTGTAATTACTGTATGGATAAAATATTTCCTCTCTCTCTCTCTCTCTCTCTCAACTCCAGCCTTTACCTTCAAGAAACCCAAACCATTCACATACATCTCTCTCTCTCTCTCTCTCAAAAGATCCAACGCAAACTACTCCTTTCTCTGTAAAGCTACAGCCACACTGAGCTACTTTTTCTTCTGTATTATATCTTTTTTGTATTTTAAAACTATTTACAGTAGCCACTATGTGCAAGTCGAAATCATCGACATTTCATAGAGATCCTCCATAGCGGACCAACTTAAGAAACTCTCATTTCCATTATATCTCACAAAGAATTCCTATCAGTTTTTTTTTTTTTCATAAAAGGAAAGCTTCAATTCTTTTATTTCAGTTAAACCCATCATCTCTCAACAAATGAAATCAAGTTTACGTTTCTCACCCAACAAAAGGTTGATCTTTTGCTGTTCTTGAACCAACTTATTTGTTCTGTCTCTCTCTTGGGACACAGGTTGGGTATTATTTTCTTGAAGTCTTCTCTGGGTTTTGTTGTATGTTAGTGCATTTGTGCCACTTGGATCTTCTTGACTTATTCTGCCTGATTTTTTTATTTGATCTCGTGACCTTGAAAAAGCTGTATTTTTGTTGGTTTTTGAGATTAAAAACTTTGTTGTTCTTCCATTGTGATCTGTTGTGGGTTGAAAGCTATTTTGGATCTGTTTGCTTTGGTGGGTCTTGATGCTTTGTTACTAAGATGCAGCCTGATCAGAGAAGAAAGGTAAATATCCTCATAACTCACCCATACAACAGACCACATACGAATAAGTGTGTGAGTGTGTGTTTGTTTTGTGTCATGTAAATATGTATGTGTACAAAGTGGTTAATTATAGTTGATAATATTGGTCCAAAATCTCAATTTCTAGCGACTCAAGAAATTTGTATATTTTTGTCTATGGCTTAGTTTAGGGATTTCATTGGAGCTCATTCTTTTCCCCCTATTGTGGTGACAAACTTGTATTGAATGCATTGTTAATTTGTGAAATATTCTCCGGTGTTTTTTATATGGATGGGCTGTAAAATTTCGTTTCGAAACAGCAAAACCATTTCCGTTTCTAAAATGACCAAAACAAATCAATCATCGAATTGAAATTGCAATGCTTGAGGCGTATCAAAATGTTTCGAGGTATTGAGATTTTTGGTATATTTTAACCAAAGTTTCAGAACATTTTGAAAATGAATTCGTAGATTTTGTATTCATTTTCATTATGTTTTAGAAAGATTCCGAAACGTTTTAAAATTTTTTCGTTTTCTAGATGTCCGAATTGTTAGTTGTTTCTGTTGGATATGTAGTCTGTGTAGTATCCACAGGCCTTGTGTTCTTGTCCAGCTCTTTGATCACAATCTCCAGCAGTACAACAAATGGCCATACCTGCTTGAGGAATGGACTGTGATGTTTTTTACTAATTGATGAAGTTATATGTCTTTTACATCTCCTATTTGGTGAACTAATGAAGCTTCTAATCTACTTAGTCTCGTAGAGCAGGTAAACAAATTTCGAAATCTGTTGTCTTTCTTCCTGGTTGGAAAAGTTAGCTACTGAAATACATGTTGGCATGCATAGTGAAAACATTTTTGATGTTGCTTTCTGGATTATGGTGACGAAATGGATCGTTTTTGGTCCCAAATATATTTAGCAAAAACAGTGAAAGTACATCAATTTGTATAGCTTATGAGGCGTTATAGCATATTAGATTATGCAAAGGGCAGCCCAGTACACAAGGCTACCACCATTGTGATATTTAGGATGGGTCATTTGTACGCAGCCTTTCTCTACATGTGGAGAGAATATTTCGTGATCAGCTAAAGCAAAGCTGAAATTAAAAATTACTGCAGCCTTGCTAAATCTGGCTAGGGGAATATTCCAAAAGAACTGAATTTCACTTTGGCATATGTTGTTGGTTGGACACTTTCTAAGATTCTACGGTTGATTTTGGTGATATGACGCATTGTTACCTAGATAGCAAGCATGATATTTGGAATGTACTTCATAAGTGTATCTGGTTAAAATCATTTATTTTTCTGTCACATTTTCGTGAATTATTTGTCATGTTATAATGCGATGGTTCAGGGATCTGTTGAAACAGACTTTTTCACGGAATATGGCGAGGGGAGCAGATATAGAATAGAGGAAGTGATTGGTAAAGGAAGCTATGGTGTTGTCTGTTCAGCATATGATACTCATCATGGAGAAAAAGTTGCAATTAAAAAGATCAATGATATTTTCGAGCATGTTTCTGATGCCACACGCATCCTTCGTGAGATTAAGCTCCTTAGGCTCCTTCGTCATCCAGACATCGTGGAAATCAAGCATATCTTATTGCCTCCTTCCAGACGGGAATTCAAGGACATATACGTAGTGTTTGAACTAATGGAATCTGATTTGCACCAGGTTATTAAAGCAAATGATGATTTAACACCGGAACATTATCAGTTCTTCCTTTATCAGCTTCTTCGAGGCTTAAAGTACATACACACAGGTTAATTATTGCTAAAGTCTTCAAATCTAATTTTGTGATTCCCTTCTGATTTGATTACACCTACTTTGTGTTCGTGGTATTTGTAATGAGATATATAACTTTAATGTAGTTGCTAACTTGTTATGATTATTTGTCCTCCATTTTTTATTCTTCTGCATGTCTTAATTTACAGCTAATGTCTTTCACCGAGATCTAAAACCGAAAAATATCTTGGCAAATGCTGACTGCAAACTCAAGATCTGTGACTTCGGTCTTGCAAGAGTAGCCTTTAATGATACCCCTACTGCCATATTCTGGACGGTATGTTCTTCCCAATCCTCTTCAGGGATTAAGGTTTACCCCATGGACCTTGTAGTCATTTATTTGATCCAAAGAACAAAGGATGTTCAATAATACCTCTGTTAATTATTTTTGTTGGATGTGCTCATAGGATTATGTTGCAACGAGATGGTACAGGGCTCCTGAATTGTGTGGATCCTTTTTCTCCAAGGTGCAATGGTCGTTACCACTTTTAATTTGCTTTGACCTGTCTGAATCTCTGAATTTGTAAGTAGTAAATGTTATGTTATGGCTTACATTCTCTTTCTATGCTTTTTTCAGTACACACCTGCAATAGATATATGGAGCATTGGTTGCATATTTTCAGAACTCTTGACCGGAAAACCTCTCTTTCCTGGAAAAAATGTAGTTCACCAATTGGACCTGATGACTGATCTGTTGGGAACACCATCTCCTGAAGCCATTGCCAGGGTCTGTCACTGTGTGAAAGTTGTTGTCTATTTATTGTTATTGTATTCATGTGCCCATTTATGTTGCAAGTCTATTTGCTCAACCATTGACTTCACGCCTACAGATTAGAAATGAAAAGGCTCGCAGATACCTAAGCAGCATGCGAAAGAAAAAGCCTATTCCTTTCTCCCAAAAGTTCCCTCATGCAGATCCCCTTGCACTTCGTTTGTTAGAAAGAATGCTAGCCTTTGAACCCAAGGATCGTCCTACTGCTGAGGAGGTATAATATGTATTCCTTTGTGTTGAAGCTTGTGCTATAAATGTCCAGATTCTAAAACAGCATATGGGATTGCAAGCTGTCAGGCTCTTGCAGATCCGTATTTCAGGAACTTGGCCAAGGTCGAGAGAGAGCCTTCTGCTCAGCCAGTTACAAAAATGGAATTTGAATTTGAAAGACGGAGGATAACAAAGGAAGATGTGAGAGAACTGATATATCGAGAGATTCTCGAATATCATCCAAAGATGTTGCAGGAGTTCTTAGAGGGAACAGAACCAATAAACTTCATGTATCCAAGGTACTTTATTTAACATTTAGATTTTTTTTTTCTTTTGATATCTATCTAATATTACAGTTAAGAAGTTGAATTTTCAATTTATAAAAGCACAACAACAGTTAAGATTCATCTAATTTCCATCTATTTTATAATCCAATGGTTCAATATTCATCTCAATTTTTTTTCCGCTCAAAAGCACCATCTTCTCTGTACTACGCCCAATGTTAGACAAATCAATCTACACACTCTCCAATGATAAACAACCCCATTAATCCACACCTACCTCTGTTTTCTCTCCCCTACCTCTCTCTTCTCTCCCCTACCTCTCTCTTATTTTTTCTCTCTTCACTTTACTTTTAAATTACATAATTAAAGAAGGGATTATTGCAACTCTTTTGATGTCATCTTTTATGATGATGCCCTTTTCATGCCTTCACAGGTCAATTTATCAACCACATACATATCAAACTTCTCTTCTCCTGTAGAAGATTTTTAGTATCTTTACTACTACTGTTTTAGAATTTGATTGTCTGATACACCGAGGTAAGCCTCAGTCATCAGGTGATTGCTTTTGAAACAAGGTATGATGAATGTTTTCTGACAGCTTCCAGTACCCACAATATTATTACCAATTTCTTAGTCTTCTTGTTTCTGGTTGGAGAGTTTGAAATGTCTTCATGCTATATCTATTGTTTTTGGCTTTTTGGGCATTGTTTGTCTTCAGTAATGGTACTAGTAGACTCCCAAAACTACCCGTAAAAGGTTATGATTACCTATTACTATGAAGTGGGCAAGGAGTTGTGTAGGATGATATAAAGTATTTCTTTTTTGGTCAAAGAGTTCTTTTTATAATTGAAACTGCTTTTTCTCCATGAAGACACAATCATTGAATCTTTTCTTCTTCATCTTTTGTTTCCTTACAGTGCTGTCGACAAATTTAAGAAGCAGTTTGCTTATCTTGAGGAGAACTACAGAAACGGTGGAACTGTTGCTCCACCAGAGAGGCAACATGCATCATCTTTACCCAGGTACCCTTCTTAGAGCGTTTCTGTCATGCAGCCATACCTTGTTTTAAATCACAGAAAATGTTACCGGTAGTTACATATACCCTTTCACTTATGCATCTTCTCGACCATTGACAATAGTTTTTTGATGCAGGCCATGCGTGTTATATTCAGAAAACTCAACACAGAATTCAGCAGAAGTCACGAATGATCTCACTAAATGTAGCATCAAAGATGTTGACAAGCCAAATGTTGACAGGACTTGTTGGATCCCTACCAGTAGACTTCCTCTCCAAGTTCCTCAAAGCATTCAAGGTGTGACTTTGTTACTGATTATCACTTGTCCAGTAGCATCATCCATTTGATTGTGACTTCAGTATTTGATTCGTTATTAACTCTCAAGAAAAGCATACTGCAATCATTCATTATTTGAAACCGAAGCACCAATTGATTGCAGTATGCTATTCTCACTTTGGTGCTACATTTTTTTCTGTCTCATCTGTGTTTGGTATCCTTATTGTATAACACATGTTATTATTATTATTATTATTATTATTTTTTTTTTGGGAGGGGAGGGGGAAAAGGGGACTTGAACCTTTGACCTCAAAAAGGGAAAGCCTTCACAAGGTAAGGAGTACCATTGGACCAAAGGTAACTCAATTATTTAATAAGTTTTGCCCGAAGATGTTACATTTTCTATGCAAATTATAGATACATGTATAGTGCTTGATCTTAAACTTCAAAGGCATGAATAATCTTTTGCATGTTTGCTGGGCTTCCTCGTGCTCTTTGTACGAAGCCCATAACAGTTTTGATCCGAACCCTCTGATAGTTAGTGCCTTTTACAGCTGGAGGGGCCGCAAGGCCAGGGAAAGTTGTTGGTTCAGTGTTGCGTTACAACAACGGTGGAGCAGTAGCGGCTGCCACAGAGGCTCTTGAACAGCGAAGAATGGTTAGGAATCCAGCTGGTCCTACTCAGCATGCTGTTGCTAGCTCTTCATTTCCCAGAAGGAACCCAGGTTGTAAAAACGACAGGGGAGAAGATGCTGGTGGAGGATCCAATGGGCTGCAGCCTAAACCTGATCAGCATGTGGCAAGGAAAGTGGCTGCTACTCAAGGTGGATCTGGAAATTCATGTTATTGACTCTGCGGTGATTCTTCTTGTGAGTGGTGGCTCAGATTTCCAAATTCCATGGCCAACTTAACGTTGGGATCATAAAATAATCCCTTCTCCAAGATTAATCGGCTGTCAACTGTAAATTCATCAGATGTCTTGCAGATATCATGTCGTTGGCTCAGAGGCACAAACACTCAGAATGGCACCGTACTTGACTTCTGTTGGTTGTAAATTAAAAAAGGGGGGGGGGGGATAG